AATCCTACACACTGTGCCTTTAATAAAAAAAAAAAAAAACGACTAAATGCTTTGGTCGCTGCTGATTCAGGAAATAAAGCCAGAAGCATTGCACAGTTTCCTGTTGAATGACACATAGGGGAACAGGAAAACTGATATAATTTTTTTCTGAACTCACACAAGCAATAACTCGTAGGCACATTCTATCCTTCTTAGGACATTGTAGTATCTCAGTCCTGCAGCTTAATTCAGAGCCTGAACTTAACCATTAACAGTATGTACCTACCCTAAACAAAACTCAATTCACACACAACAAAAGACATTCACCGTGTTAGGTCTCACTTAAAACAAAGTTGTATGAACTTTACATCAGCATTTTTAAATTTTGCACCTATTCAAATTGTTGCCAATTTTACCAACATAATCATTTAAACCAGGGCTATTCAACTAAATTGCTCCGGGGGCCACAGTTAATGCAGACCAACAGCTCAGGGGCCGAACCCAGCAATTACAGTTGTTATGTAAATAAACTAAGTATTACAAAAATCTGTTACCTTTAAAATAGTTTATTTTGCTGTATTTAATCATGAAAACATACAGAACCCTACTTAATAAATGTAGTGATGATAAAACAACAACAAAAAAAGAAATATTATGCCTCTTAATTACCACAAAATATTTTGACATCTCTGACTTACCAAATTTTTAAACCAATTTTATTTTCACTTTCACAGTTTTATCTTCAACTGCTTGTAGTTTTAACTGTCTTGGATGTTCATATAAATGGTTTTACCAGCTTGTAGCCATGATTCTTATGTTTTTGTAGATACCAAACATGTTTATGTTTAACTAAAATAACTTAGAGTAATTAAAGTAGAAAACCAGGGGTTTGGGCTTAAGAGATGAATGAACCAATTGGCGGACCGAACTTTGTTCACTTGAGGCTCGGATGTGGCCCGCGGGCTGCCAGTTGACAAGCCCTGATTTAAACTATAGTATGTATAAAAATGAGAAATTATACAAAATGTGCTATCGCTATTAGAACCAGAAACGACATTTAAATCAGTGTAGAGAAACACAGCAGATTTGTGGGTGCTCAATAAACATTATTAATCAAACCATTAAAAATCAAAAGCATGAGCAGAAACATTAACTGGTCACTGTTTAGTGTTTAATTCTTCACTGATGCTGTTTGTTAAAGTAACCTGAAAGATGTGCTACATACCTCTTTAAAATACATTTAAACTATAAGAATGGTAAAATAGAAAAACATTTGTGGTTTTGACAATGACTTTTTAATGCAGTATCTTAAAAATGGATATTGGCCCGTGCCTATAGGGTTTGATTTTTAGTAAATATTTAGTTTCAGATCAAAATTCTTGAAATGGAAAATTAACTAAAGATGAAAAAAAACATTCTTGAAAAGAAAGAAAAATAGTCACTAAAGGCTGACATATTCTTCCAACAGCCCAAACCTCAGAACATCACAAAGCATCACAAAGGCAAAATTTATAAATATAAACAGACACAGGAAACTACACACCTTTTAAACGGTGGTGGGTTGACAGGAAAATATACCAAACTTCAAAATGCTCAGCCTAAAGACACTTCCTGCATCAGCCATCCTCTGAAAGCCACTATGTTAGTGCAACACACAACTGACATGAACTTGCAAGTCACTCACTGATGAGAACAAAAAAACAGTTTGTCATGGTAGCAATTATTCATCCACATTAAATCTTCCTCAGTAACATGACACTGAAAAGTAAAAAAAAATTGATTCAGTAATAATAATCAGCATTATTATTACATGTGAGCAAAATGAGCTCAGGGGTTCACACCTTCTATAGCTGTGGGATCTCAGAAGCACAGAGGCCTTTACAAAGCACAAATTAAATCTTTGTGATGTTCACAAGACATTTTACAATGTAAGCTAAAACTGTGCAAACATTTGGAGTCTTATGGAGTCTGGAAACATTTGTTTTTCCACCTTTTAAGACCTCAAAAATACAAGAAGCTAATTTCAAACCTTTCCATA